CACATAGTGTGACATAGAACTGAACACATTTACAACAAGAACATAGAAAAGACACTTAGGGAGAAGTACCATAGCACCCTGTGTTCTCTTGTGAACAGATCTAGCTGGGGATTCTGGGATTTGAGCCCCTGTAAGTAAATTTTCCAATCTCTATTTACTACTCACGATTATCCATGTTTAATCAAGAGTCCCTCTCTACTGTATGGTGCTCCAAGTAAGATTGCATAGGATTGCACTCTTAACCCTACTGTTTCAATAGGCTTCTGCAAATTTAGCACTGCATTGGACTGTGATCAAAATACTACTCAAAACCCTAAGAACATGGGACTTAGGAACATGTGATCTATACATATTTCATACTGTTCCACATGATCTGTACATATTTCAGGCTGTTGCATATGATCTGTACATATTTGTATATCTGTACAGAACCATAATTCCGGATTTAACAGTAATGCCTCTATTAGACAATTACAAGTTACAACTCTATTTACTACTCACGATTATCCATGTTGAATCAAGAGTCCCTCTCTATTGAATGGTGCTCCAAGTAAGACTGCATAGGATTGCACTCTTAACCGACTGTTTCAATAGGCTTCTGCAAATTTAACACTGCATTGGACTGTGATCAAAATACTACTCAAAACCCTAAGAACATGGGACTTAGGAACATGTGATCTATACATATTTCATACTGTTCCACATGATCTGTACATATTTCAGGCTGTTGCATATGATCTGTACATATTTGTATATCTGTACAGAACCATAATTCCGGATTTAACAGTAATGCCTCTATTAGACAATTACAAGTTACAAACACTGAGCAAAATTCTGTTGCTTAGCATAGTAAATCACACTAGAGTAGGTCCATTGAATCCATGGAGATTGGTAAGTCATCTCTTCTGTATGTTCCATTGATTCAAACGGACTACTTTAACTTACTATACTAAAATAATGACTTACAGACGGCTCGACTTACAGACTTTTCAAGTTACAGACTTCTCTGGCTGCAAAATTTAGATTCGACTTGCAGCTGGAGAATCGACTTACAGACCAGAAAAAACCCAAAATGGAACAAAAATAGAATAAAAACCGCTGGTTATAGGATTAATCGGTTTTCAATGCATTGTAAATCAATGGAGATTTGACCTACAGACTTTTCGACTTGCAGCCACCATTCCAATACGGATTAATTCCTTAAGTAGAGGGTCCACTGTATACTAAAATAATGTGCAACTAGAGTTCAATGGAATCAATGGAACTTCTGGACGAGCTGACTCAAATCCTCATGGATTCAATGGGCCTACTCTAGCATGATTTGCAACAGGATTTTGGTCAAGGTGTACATTCAGGTTTTCCAGAATTCTTCCCCAAGTAGAAATGGTATAAACTGGGAGGAGGAAAGAGGCAAAGTGTAGAAAAAATCAGGCCAGATGTGATGGCAGTGGGTTCTTGAAGAAAGACTGCCAGCAAGACAACAGAGTTTGCAACTTCAGTGTAAAATACAAAGTTTTAGGTATCACTTTACAGCTTTTCCTCTCTATGTGGACAAATAAAGCCTGGCTGGGACATAAGCAACTAAGAATTCCACACCAAAGAGTGAATTATTGCAGACCACAGCACCCTCTAAGCTGCGGTTATAATTAGACGTCATGTCCATTGTAATCCTAAGGACGTCATTGTGTGTTACCAGCAACTGTTGACAGATCACATACCACACATATCCTGAAATGGCAAGTCTGAAGAGGGCAGCCCACAATAGAAACAATGGCATTTATTTTTGTCCTGTTCCAAGATTGTCTCATAGAACATGCATGCTCGCCAACTGCCCAGCTTGGTTGGAGATCACTGTTCAATATTATATTACTGGTTTGAACAAAGCTCGGCAACCATGCAGCTACAGCCTTCTCCTCCTCGTATATACGGACATCAGGAATGTACTTTGTCGAGCTTATTTTAGCGCTATGGGGGAGAGTCTGACACTCTCAGATCTTTTCAAATCCATCAATCCTACTGGGAAAGTATGTTTCTCCCTGGATCATAAATGCCAGGCTGATTTTCAGGCCAAGGAAAGATAATGCCATGCTATCAGATGTTATTTATAGAGCAGTGCATCTATTTAACATTTGTTTTAAATGTTGAGGACAATGTAAAGTACTAAAGGCTGCCATTCACCATCCACTACTGCTGCAGAAGCTTTGTTCACATCAGTCTGGCATATTGCTGAGAGATCTAAGTAAAAAAACATGGAAGTGGATTGTTTGTGTTATACCATAGGAAGGAATATATATTGGCCAGTTCCCTGTTGGATTTTCCTGACATATAACTGCAAACACAAGAGGGACTGTGGCAAAACACAGGGGCCCAGTCACCCACCTGGTCACCTGGTCAAGTGGCTACTGGGGTGACCAGTTACTGTACATGAACAGCCACAGACCAGGCAGGCATCTGGACCAGTCTACATTGCCACAGCTGCTACTTACTGTGTTTGTAGTAATACAAATTCATAAATTCAGAGTTTTCGATAAGGGCCAACTATACTGGAAGGAATGAAAGTGCACGATGATCCAACATAAAGAAAATCTGTCATGATTTCTACTTTTGAAAGTGGGAAAGGAAAAAAGCAATTTGTTTTAATGGGATGTGAGCACAATTTTCTTCCCCTGATTTAAGATTAAAATGTTATTTATTTTCCCTGTGAAGCAAATATTCTGAGGAACTATTCACTTTTCATCATATAGAGGATTTATTTTCTTTCCTCTCACATGTCTTTCTCACACAAAGTCTTTTGCAAGTGTACACACAACTCCTAGGAGAAAATCACTTGTTTGAGAAGTTTTATTAATGCAGATCAGTTGCCAGTCATGTCACCAGAACTAACTCTATTATTCCAGCTTGCAGTTTCTTATTCCAATAATATTGAAAATAAATATATAAATCTCCCATATTCTGCCTTCTCTTTTTTTGCATCAGCCTCCTGATGGGAAACTGGGTTTCTTTTATCATTTCTGCACTTATTTCGCTTGACTAGGAGCTTGTAAATGCAAATGTCCCCTCCTCTTGAAACTCAGGCTCAAAAGTAATTGCAACAAATGGCCTCCATCTCAAAAGCGAACCAACAACTTCAGACACATTTTGTAGTTTTGGAGATAAAAGGTTATTTCAACAAAGCTGGAATTCTCCTATGCAGATTAAACAGGAACAATTGAATTTCTTTGCCCTTGTGCTGGTTTTCACTCATCTGAGATGAGCTTTCTGCAGGAGAATTTGCTCAAGTATGGTATCCAGATATGTTGCAATATGGTGAGGAGTGGATACTGGTTACAGTCTTGGGGACTGATTAAGGAGACCTGGGATTAAATCTCTAATCAGCCGTGAAGCTTGATGTATGAATTTGGGCTGCCCACTTGGCAGAACCTATCGCACAAGGTAAAATGGGGGAGACTGAACCTTGTATGCTGGTTTGAACTCTTTATCAAAAGATTGGGTACAAATGCCATGACAAAGAAACCAAAGCCCCACAAGATATTCAACAAATGCTTTGTTTGGGGGGGGGAAGCAGTTTCCAAGGGCATGATCAAAACTGGGATTATGATGCGCAAAGAAGCAGGGGGGGGGGGGAAGCAGCTTCCAAGGGCATGATCAGAACTGGGATTATGATGCGCAAAGAAGGAGCCTTCATCCTCTCCTTCCATGCCATGGTCCCAGTGAAAAGCATTTCCCATCTTCTCACATACTATTTCCCATGGAAGGAAAACTGCTAGGCGAGCTGGTATTCTCACCAGTACTAAATTGCCTCCCATAGCAAAGAGATTAAAAACTCATCGCTCTGAATCAATCTTGCTACGCCTGGTCATACCCGTCATACTCTTCTCTACTGACTGTCATTTTAAAAACAACAACAGAGCTTGAAAAACCTATTTTGGGAAGCTTCAAACTGGCAGAATTTCCCAGTCAGATGTGTAAGAGTTTCTCAAAGTCCCCAAAACATAGATGGGAAATACAAGCGCACATGGAACTTAACACATAGTTTGACCCCAAGTTGGATTTTTATTTGGCCAGTTTTTGTGGTATATCACGTATACATCCAATTATTATCCTGTTTGGTCAAAGTAGCACATGGAATGACACAGAAATGTTATATGAGTGCAACTTCCTGATAGATTGAGTTAATTGCACTTTGACATAGATTCATGACTGAGGCACCGCAGTGCATGAGCTGCACAATATTAGATGCTAATATTGCAAATATTAGTATCTAATTTTTACACATGCTGAGATGAAGATCAGTTGTCATTGTGCTGAAAGAAGAGATGTATAGCACTAACTTTATGTAATCTTTAACCAAAAGGTGATGGTGTTGAAATATGGTATCCAGGAATCTATCTCTCAGAACAGGAAACCTAGCAGATAATATGAATGATGGGTTCTGTCTGAGCATGCAATCAGACCCCATATACTGTACTACAGCTGATGGAAAATGTTGTGGATGGTGTGCAAAGTGGCCAGTCCAACTGATGAACAATAGGAACTCAGGTATCTGGTCACCTCAGGATGCCACATGCCAGAATTCTGTTAATTCACATTTCAGCAAAAAATGTACAGTACAGTACAGTACTACCAGGGTCATGTTAATTGCATCCTTATTCTCTATGACCAAGATGATGTCACAAGCGATATATAAAGCCATTTTAGGAGATAAATTCACAGTCCACAGAAGCTACACATACTCTCCTTGTTTGTGTTTGGCAAGTAGATAACCAGATTTAGGAATCCTTGTTGGAAAAAAAGTGCCCCAACTTCTTATCAACCTGTTTGTATAGCAGCCTTGCAGCCACTTCAAATGATAATGCGAGACTCAATCTGAGACCTTGATCATATGCTTCACACACAAAAGAGACAAACATTTCATATTGAGATAAACAAAATCACTTCCAAGTAACTTGGGCACAAATTCACATTCAATTTGACATCTTTTTTCCACTTGTTTCCCTTACCTTCCTTTGCTGTTTCTCCCATGCAGGGTCCAGGAGCAGGTCCCTGTCCCATTCTTCCTCTTGATTCATGTACTCATCCTCTTCATATTCATAGTTGTAATGTAGGGCAGTGTCTATTTGGGTTGTCATGTTGCTTAAGAATCAGATCCTGTTTCGCACCTGCAGAAGTTCTTAGCGCTTTAAAAACAGCTTCAAATAAATAAACCTACAGAAAGAAGAAATCCTGTATTCTCTTGGGAGAAAGATATATACTGTATATTGTCTTGCTGAGACTACTCGGATGAAAAAGGTTGTCGGGCTTCAGGTTAAGATCTTCACCCCACTTTCTTCCTGTCTTTCTGCCCCTGGACCGGTGGCTGTGATTCTCCAAGAGGAACCCTGGCTCACACTGAAGGCTCCTGCTATGGCTGCTGCTTCTTATCCCCTTGCCTTGTCACATGACTCTGCACTCCCTGGGAAATGTCTGTCCCCCTCCCCTCTTTTTTTTTTCTTCCAGGTTCTTCTTTGCTGTTTGCAAGCCAGATCTTGACAAGCAGGGCTAGTCCCTCTGCCTCTAGAAGCTGTTGAACACGTTTTTTTTTTAACCCAGCCAAAGGAAAAGGAGTGGAGCCTCAGGTGGGCCTCCATCAGACAGAGAATAGCAGTGGGAAGAGGATATGTACTTCAGCAAACTGTCTCAGGCATGATCTCCGGGACATATCACTTTGCCTCTCTTTGTGCTCAACTGAAATCAGCCTTGTTTTTTCCAGGTAATTAATAGCCAGAGGTGGAAAGTAACAAACTGAAGTAACACAATTAGTGGTGATGAATTACTGTCTTTTTACAGCAAGGTTATGATATAGTTACCATTCAAAAGGAATACAGTATAACGATTGGTAACAGCAAGGAGTGTTTTGGTATGAAGAATAGCATGTTCTAGTTATGCCTTACAGGTATGTTTAAAGGGCATATTTAGACCTTTTAGGGGCATTTGAACAAGGTTTTTTCAAGTGTGCATCTCACCGGTACCCCCTCCTGAGGTGCTGGTGGGACCAGGGACCCCTCAGCAAGAACTCCATAAGCTCCAGCTCAGCTTCTTGGCTCAGAGCAGATTTTATTAGTGGTACAGCGTTACTCCCCCCTGTCCATTCCCCCCAGTCTGACAGGGCCGAATTACAGTCTCTAAACCTTTGTGTGCCACTTGTCAACTTTGGGACCCAGTTAACTTCACTGGAGTTCCTTGGAGTCCAGGTTCTGGAAAGCAGGAAGGAGAGCTAAAGTCTAGGGAGCACTTATTTTAGAAATGGCCGTCAGGCTCTGGAGCTTGTCTCTACCCATCCCCTCCCTCAGTGTGCCTGTCATTTGCCTCTCTAGAGCTCCAATGGTGTCCCGGTTAACATAGCCTTGTCCATGCACATGGAGGGAGTCTCTCGTGTCTTAACTCCTATCACAAGCAGGCAAACCCAGTGAGGGTAAACAGCTTCCAGCATTCCCCTCTTTTGCATCATCCCACATATTCTCCTCTTCAGAAATAGGCCTCTGTTTTCCCAATCCTACCCTTTTCTGCTTCCTGCCCCCTCAGCTGCCTCTCATCGGGGAACTTCAGCTGCATCTGGCAAATCCTAAGAAAAGTTACCTTCCTGCCAGCCAGGTCCTGAAAAGACTTACTCTCCTCTCATCTGCCCGATACTTAGTGCTGGGGCCTGGACCCTCTCACATCAAGTTTTATGCCATCTGCTCATAACCCATGGTGGTAAGTGAACAGCATACAGATTGCCAAAGGCAGGTGGAGATAGAAACAAGAAGAGATAAAACACATCAGTGGCCGAACTTAAAAACTCAGGTTGTTAACACTCATGCTTCAAAGATAGCCTTCCTCAACCTAGTACTTTCCAGATGTGCTCAACAATGCCTACCCCCTCTAGACAGAAATTGGATTGAATCATGCAGAGATCTTTTTCAACCCCTTAGGTTCCGGTTGCAATGGAACTCTGCAAACAGGAGGGTGGAGTCCCGTAAACACGCTCACACATGGGTAAAGTTGCACATGAGAAAGGCAAGTACACTGGAGTGAATGCTTCCCTGAAGAGAAAAGTTTTTGCCTGCTTGCAGTAGGACAGCAAAGATGGGACCAGTCTGGCCTCCTGTGGGAGGGAGTTCCAAAGTCTGGGAGCAGCAACAGAGAAGGCCTTCTCCAGTGTCCCCATCAGATACACCTGTGAAGGCAGTGGGACCAAGAGAAAGGTCTCTCCTGATGATCTTAACACCTCAGCCAGCTCATAATAGGAGATACAGTCTTTAAGATAGCTTGCACCCAGGCCATTTAAGGCTTTATAGGTTAAAACCAGCACTCTGAATTGTGCCCAGAACCAGCAGCAACAGAGAAGGCCTTCTCCAGTGTCCCCATCAGATACACCTGTGAAGGCAGTGGGACCAAGAGAAAGGTCTCTCCTGATGATCTTAACACCTCAGCCAGCTCATAATAGGAGATACAGTCTTTAAGATAGCTTGCACCCAGGCCATTTAAGGCTTTATAGGTTAAAACCAGCACTCTGAATTGTGCCCGGAACCAGACAGATCAGCAGCCAGTGGGGCTGTTGTAACAGGAAGGTTCTGTGATCCCTGTAACCAGACCTAGCCAGCAATCTGGTTGCTGCATTTTGGACTCACATTTCCTGGCACTTTCCATTGGCAGCCCCACATAGAGTGCATTACAGTAATCCGGCTGGGAAGTAACTAGGGCGTGTGTCATCGTGATGAGATCAGATCTCTCAAGAAATGGACATAGCTGGAGCACTAGTTTTAATTGTACAAATGCACTCTTGGCCAGTGCCGAGACCTGGGCATCCAGGCTTAGGAATGAATCCAGGAGCACCCTTAAGCTGCGTACCTGTTTTTTTCAGGGGGGTTGTAACCCCATCCAGTACAGGCTGCATATTTATTTCTGGATCTACCTTTCAGCTGACCAGAAGCATCTTTGTCTTGTCTGGATTAAGTTTCAATTTACATACATACAACAATCTAGTCCCTGAATTGGCCTGTGTGCCCAGACAATGATAGGACAACACCTCAAGCTGGAAATCAACTTTGAGTTTCGGTGTTTGGGGATAACTTGTACAAAAACAAATTTATGGAGAACAGGCCAACCGGTGCCTGGCTACTACTAGTCATGCAGTGCATTTATTTATTTATTTATTTATTTATTTGTTTGTTTGTTTGTTTGTTTAATTTATATGCCGCCCACACTACCAAAAGGTCTCTTTGGGTATTTCAGTGCCAAAGGCAGTAAAAAAGTGTATAAAGGTAGAAGTGTGCCAGATGAACAAAGATAACCATCAGAGAAAATATCTGTTCTTGCCAAACACGTTTCATGCATTCTTGCATAACTTTTTTAACATCACATTGAGTTTCTGAAAGGACTGGGTTTGGCACAATGAATGTGATTGCCCAGAACAAGAAGCTACCATTTTCAGCTGCTAGTGGCTTTAGAAACTACACTCTACTCACTTCCCCCTTCTATCATGCAGTGGGAACACTATGACTAATTTTGCTTGACGCTCTACCTAGGAAAGCCCCATGTGACCTTGATGTAAGACCAAGAAATGTTGCCTATTCAGGTTCATGAACAACAGCTTCAGCAACAAAATAATAACACAGATGAAACCACAACAAGATTCCTAAACTCACCCCCTCCCACTTCCTCCCAAAGTCTAGATCTGCCAATGAAGTCTATGAACTTTGCCTTTACAGTTAAATGAATAGTCATTTGGGTTCCCTGCGGTGCAGAATGGGGAAACTAAAAGACATTGAAACACATGTGGCCAGCAGGTGGCGGCAGCACTCCCCAGCATTTCCTCAAAAAATAAAATGAAACAAGATCAAGTGTGAAGCGCATTTAACTCACAGAATGGCAAGAGACATAAGCTTCAGACCATGAGCAGAATTTCTTCCAGAAACAAATGTCTCCCTGAATTAGTCAATCCCTTGAAGAGAATCTGTAATTTCTAATTTTTTTAATAATCCCAACCATAATGGCTAAGCCATAATCACTGAGCATATACTGTACTCACATTTCTGGCTCCTATGAAGAGCTTACAAGAACAAACTGAGTTCCCCTCCAAACAGTTACTTTTGTGTGCCTAAAGCAACCGGAAGGTGCAGGTCTAGCACACACTCTTCATCATGCGTGGAATGCTTTCATAATCACTGAATACAGCTTTTACTTCCTCATTGAGATGGTGTGTCGTTTGAACCAATGTTAAAACTAGCTCAGTCTCTGATGAAATCAGCCATTGTAAACACTTGGGAGTCAAAATCTTCTTACATAGCCCCCACAAACTTTTGGAGACAAATTGCGCCAAGTTAAGATATCAGTTGCACACTGAATTTACACATGGCCTGAAATGGAACAGCAAATGGCACTACAAGGTCTGCCAAATTATTTTGGCACCTAAAGAGAAAATCTCACAAACGCCTCTCCCCTCGCCATGCACTAAAAATACAATGGCCAGGAATTAAACAACCGACAATTTGCTGCCCTTCCATGACACCAAACAAATGAGCTGCCTGAGGCAGTTCCCTCAATCTGGGTAATGATAGGGTAGCCCCTGAAAGATAAAACAAACATTTTTTTTTTTTTAAAAAAGGCACAATATGAAACAGGAAGGGTAGGGAGGTAATGAAACAGAGGCTGTTACATTCAGAAAGACCAATGATGGTTTTTAAACAATCCAGAACGCACCTCTGCAAAGTGCTCAGAAACTCCAGCGTGTCCAGAAGGTCGCCACCAGAATGTTAACTGGGGGCTGGTTGCAGGGAACATATGACTCCCCTGTTACAACTGCTCCACAAGCAGTGGATCCGTTTCTGGGCAGAACTCAAAGTTCTGGTTTTAAGCTACAAAGCCCTAAATGGCTTGGGTCCAAGCTATCTAAAACAGTGGTCCCCAACCTTGGGCCTCCAGATATTCTTAGACTACCCCTCCCAGAAGCCTTCACTACCACCTCTGCTGGCCAGGATTTCTGGGAGTTGAAGTCCAAGAACATCTGGAGGCCCAAGGTTGGGGACCACTGATCTAAAAGACCGTGTCTCCCTCTATGAGCTTGCTTGGGCTTTAAGATCCAGGAGAGAAAGGGGAGACCTTTCTTTTGGTCCCACCACCCTCCCAGGTGTGTTTGGTGGGGACACAGGAGAGGGTCTTTTCTCTTGCTGCTCTCAGATTCTGGAATGTCCTCCCACGGAAGGCCAGGCTGGCCCCATCTTTGCTGCCCTTTCTCTTCAGGCACGCTTTTCCTTAGTGACTGGCAGTTTGAGAGGGGTTTTTCAGAGTGGATTGTGGTGCTTTGCTGTTTTTAAATGTGTCTTTAGTGTTCATTTTATTTACCATTTTAATATGATACTTGTTGAGTTCTTTTTAAATATTTGTACATTTAGTGTTCTTAGATTTTAAATATTATCCTTTTAATGTTGTAAGCCGCCTTGGATCCTTTTAGGAAGAAAGGTGAGGTAAAAATATTTTAAATACATAAATAAACATGATTGTGTTAACCAGGCTTAGCTCCAGAATTTGCAGATCTGAATCCTTTTTTGTTTTTTTTTTTTTTTTTTTTTTTTGTAGACACAAAGAAGTAATATTATAATAGACAATACAAGGCGATGTAAAGTAGCAGAAAAGAATTTACTGAAGAGTGACACTGTTTGAATACAGAGTACGGGTAGCTGATGTCAGTTGGACTGAGGGACATTCTTCAAATTTGCCAGCAAAGTGGGGCTAAAGGGGGAGGATCACAGCTGAAGAAGGTAATTTCCACATTTCTTTTTTTTAATGCAGTTGTTACATAATGAAAAGGCTACTGCAGCAGGGTTTTGTTGACTGAAAAATGGATTTAACTCTTTTTTTGAAGTATTGTTCTAAATTGAAAAAGCCCTCTTTTATCCAGTAGTGGCCACTGACTGTTTTTTAAAATTAAATGTTTTGGAATATGGAAACCCCGGAAGCTAAATAGGGCTCCTCAAAACACAGCAAAATTGCTCCTCCAAGAAGGCACAGGGGGAATTTTTAACAAAAAAGATGCAAGTGCAACAATGACCACAGGAGCGACATGTGGCCTACAGACTGCATGTCAGCCACCCTTCACATAGGAAGTTAAAAACAACAATATATCAATACAATGACATTGGATTGGCCTGCAAATGATTCATGATTATTTCCTTCACATAGGAAGTTAAAAACAACAATACATCAATACAGTACAATGACATTGGGTTGGCCTGCAAATGATTCATGATCATTATTACGAGTATATGCCATAATTGTTCAAACTGATAATGAACTGTGGCAACCCTTTCTAAGGTTTCCTAGGTATACTATCAATACAATGACATTGGATTGGCCTGCAAATGATTCATGATTATTTTTACGAGTATATGCCATAATTGTTCAAACTGATAATGAACTGTGGCAACCCTTTCTAAGGTTTTCTAGGTATATGGTACTCAGAAGCAGTTTACTGTTCTCTTCTTTGGGGCATGTCTGCGGACTGTGCAGCATGCCCAGCTCTACACATTTGGCTGGCATTTCTCCTGGGACATAAGTGGAGAATCATACTCCCAACTCTGGCTCCAAAGTTGCAGCAATTTCTCCATTTAAATGCCTAAATATGCCTGTGTGAGTGTGTGTGCGTGCGTGCGTGCGCGCATGCGTGCGTGCGTGCGTGCGTGCGTGCGTGTGTTGTAACTATGTTACTTGAAGTGGGCACTTTTATTTCAATGCAGCCACTTCCTATGAAATCACTTCTTGGACTGCAGCCTTACTCTGACAGTGTCTTAAAATTCATTGAGAGAAGAAACACCCAGAGTGATCTGAGAATCAGCCTTCCTCCCTGTCTGTTATTGCCCGACTAGACCTCTAGGAACACAGTACAGACTTACAATGTAAAACGCATAGTGACAGGTGGGAAACTACAAATAGTGCTGGCATACGATTGGAAAAAATGGCGAGACAGACCCAGGATTTTAAAAATGGTTTAGTCTGGGGAATGCAAAGGGGAGGGGAAGGGGAGGGGGGCAGGACTTGGGTATAGAATAACCTATTACAAGCTTTCAGTCATGTGCTTTCAGCCGCTTTGCTGAGTCTCTGCCTTGCACCAGCTTTTCCTCATCTGTAGCATAATAAAGAAAGAATCATCCTAGCAACAATGATTTTTGGAAATTAAAGGCCTTCCACCATCCCATGACCCTCAAAAACTTTCACATAGTGAAAGCTATCCCAAGGGAGCCCAGGGAACTTTGCAGAAGAATCAGAAATGTTTAATTTCCAAACACACACACAAAGCTATCGTGGTCTTTTAACATCTTATGGGGTTCTAAGTTCCATGACCAATTCAGCCATTCTTTTAAAAGGTGTGCCGCATGCTTAAGCACTATGTGAGATGATTTGTGTAACAACATACAGACCTTTTTAACAGCTGAGTCATAAGATCAAGATTTGTTTTGTACGAAGGTGATCTTCCTCAACATTTACAGTACTTGTCCCAGAGGATATTATGGCTTTATCAGCTGAAAACCAGTCGAGGGGGGCAGCTGGCCACAAATGTGGGACCCCTCTCAGCACTGGTCTCTTTGCCCAAGAGGGGAGCAACTTCAAGAGAGTAGCCATGTGCCTTCAGATCAATCACAATATGTTGGCTCGTAGTGAATGGGCAGGCTAGTGCTCTTCTTAGGGTAGAGAGAGTTCGGCCAATCTCTATAATATCCTGAATTTTTTTGTCACAGGTTGAATGATTATCTCCTCCTAGTGTATGTTCTATACTGGTTTTGCCTACAGTCGTAGTTTGACTGGTGTGGCATAATGGTTGGAGTTCTGGACAGTGATGGTGAAGATCCTGATCCTAGTCCCCAACAAGGCAGGAAACTGATTAGGTGAGTTCTAGCCCTTCATTCCTATTTCCTCACAGGGCTGGTGTGAGGAAATAGGAAGAAAGTCATGTTATACGACCTTGAATTCACAGGAGGGAGGATATAACTGCAATACACATACTCCCAAATTTAATTTATTGTCTATCTTTCAGTGAGCTCAAGGCAACCAAGCTCCTCTCCTTCCCACCACTTTATCTTTAGAAAAACCTTATGAAGTGGTGCCAAGGGAAAAACAACTGGCCCTGTGTTATCTAGTGACTTTTATGTCTCAGAGGGGACTTGAAGCAGGATCTCCCAAGTTCATTGCCTCCTCATCCAACCAGCTCACCTATAAGAAGATTCTCTGTCGAGTGGGAGCACATATATATTTCCTTGCCAGTGTAATACCTCCCTGGTAGAGGTGTTTCTTCTGCTTTGGTGTCATAACTGGGCTCCAGTGAGGCTGTTGCTGTCAGTACCTCCAGTACGGGTGGGGAACATGTGGATCTCCAGAACGACGTGAGCTCCCCGCAAGCTCTTCCGCCGGTCGGAGGCCTCGAGGGGGCAGCAAAGAGCAAGACCCGCGGCAGGAAGGGCGACCGGCCGGGCGGAAGACGCTTCTGCGCGTCTCCTCGCAACGGAAGCGGAAGCGCCGGCCTCTCGCTTGTCCTTCCGGGCCGAAGGTGAAACATCTGGGAACACCTCTTCCCACGTGGGGAGGCGAAGGTGGAATGGTCTGTTGAAGGCAGCGATCGGGAACGTGGGCATTTGCGTGCCAGGCTCGGGGGTCTCCCCGGGAGTGATCGTTCTTCAGGCGCGGAGCTCGGAGAGGTAAGTGTGATCTTCTCATTTCAGGATGCGTTGTCGAAGTCGCCGGGTCTTTCTCTGCCTTTCTTTTATGTACCGCATTGGACGCGGTGGTTGGTATTCCGTTAACGGAGGCACGTTGAAAGATTTCGGGGAGGTGTTGGTTAAACTGCATCGATGCGAATGCTGTTTGAAAAACAGGATTTGCCAAACCCTATCATGGATTTTCCTTCCACAGAAGTGTGAACGATGACATCTCTTGCGCACCAGCTGAAGCGCCTTGCGCTCCCCCAGAATGATCCCAGCCTCTTGTCTCGAAGTGAAGCAGCTTCGCTGCTGTTTGATTGCAAGGAAGCTGCCAGTATTGACAGGGAGACCTTCTTCGCCATAGGTAAGTGGGGCTCTTAAGACCATAGCCACAGTCTCCGCTAGGGAGGCACTCTGTCAGATTTTGCACTTTAGTTCCCCACTGGAGCTAAAGTTTGGGCAACAGCATAGGAAGGATCTTGTCCCTTCTCCAAATCGAGGAACAGGGGACCACAAATGATGGCTAGGCACTAAGATCAATAGGAGAGTGTTTTTTAATGGTTTGGGACTCCAATTCCCAGAATTTTCCAATAATTCCAGAAATTGGAATTGAAAACAGATCATCAGCCCACCACAGAGGTTATTCCAGTGATTTATCTGCCCCAACAGATAGCATATTTTCAAGATATGCTATTGAGTCGCCTTGACTTGGGAATAGTGACCCTTGACTTGGGATATGTGAGTTATAAAGGGCAGGTATCTCAATTTAAACCAGAAATGACTAAAATGCATCTTTAACTGCTTCTTTGAATAAATCTATGACTGGGTTTGGACAGTACTTGCTTTTTAGGCAGAACAATTTTATCCTGCAACAACATCAGTGGTGTCATGGTAGCCTTCCAGCATTGTTCACAATTCAGATGAGTGGAGACTGTCCATTGAGTCTGCAACAACATCAGTGGTGTCATGGTAGCTTTCCAACATTGTTCACAATCCAGATGAGTGGAGACTGTCCATTGAGCCATCAAAGAAGAGACTTGAACTTGTTTTGCCATCAATCCTAGTCGGTCATGCAGTCCATATGAAGGAAATGTATGACAACAGGAAACAACTTTTGAGGGGCATAAACTATGACCAGCATCAGTGGCAGTTCCATCAGTGGTGTCATGGTAGCTTTCCAACATTGTTCACAATCCAGATGAGTGGAGACTGTCCATTGAGCCATCAAAGAAGAGACTTGAACTTGTTTTGCCATCAATCCTAGTCGGTCATGCAGTCCATATGAAGGAAATGTATGACAACAGGAAACAACTTTTGAGGGGCATAAACTATGGCCAGCATCAGTGGCAGTTTTGTGGCAATGTGAAGGTTGTTGCTCTCTTCCTTGGCCTGCAGATTGGATACATCAGGTATTGCTGTTTTCTCTGTGAATGGGATAGTAGTGCAAGAGATTCCCACTACATCAAGATAGATTGGCCACTTGAACAGTCATTGGAGACAGAGAGGAAAAGTGTTGAGCATCCAGCACTTGTTGAATCAAGGAATATTTTGTTATCACCCTTACACACGAAGCTCGGTCTGATGAAGAACTTTGTAAAGGCCATGGGCAAAACACAAGCAGCTTTCAGCTGGATTTCTTTTCACTGAACTGTCGAGCAATGAACGATGAGCACAGCGAGCAATTTCATCAGGACATTGCAGCAATGGAGAAACTCTTATCAGGGCAAATGGAACCTCCCCATAAATGCTTGCAGACTATTGCTGGACACTGGCAAGAGATGCTCCACTTAATGAATACAAGAGACAAGCCAAGAAGCTCAGAGTAGACATTGAATAGCACTAAACTATGTACATAATAGTTTTTTGTCCTTTGTTTCATAATACATTTTATTTATGTAATTCTTTCGCTGATTTTCAAAGTGCTGCATAAATACTACAGGTGATATATTTTTATGTAAGCAACCATAAACACATGAAAAAGATTCAAATTTACAATTCATGTTAAAAACATCTACACAATGTACATAGACGTAAAATGTAAAAACTTAAATATCTTGGAATCAGTAGCCACTCAGTTATTTTAATTGTCATATTTGAATTCAGCACATCAAAATACATAATAAATAGCACATTTGATCTCTGAAGGAGATGACTTCTGAAATATTGTAGACCAGTTATGTCAGATACTCACTGAGCCCATATAGTTAGTTACGCAACATATCATCAAATGGGAACCAACTCTGAGCAATCCTAATGGGGCTTTCAAGGTAAGTGAGACATTCAAGGAGTGGTTTTACCATTTGCACTCCTCCAGTGAATTTCCATGGCGAAGTGAGATTTAAACCCTAGTCTCCAGAGTCCTCGTCCATCAGGCTGTTCAGTATATCAGACTGGGTATTTTGAGCTTAGATGGATTTTTGTACAGTATTCTGGAAGAAAATAATGTTTTCCCAGTCAACTTGTCATATGTCAGTCAGGTGCACTGTTTATAAATGCTGGATCAATTGTTATGTACAAGGTGACCACATCTCCAAGGATCCTATATATTGAATAATTTATAAAGTCTTCAAATTGTGTGATTGACTGACCCTATTCTGACTTCATTTTTAGGGTGCACTGGCCTGGAAGAGCTGATTGGAATTGATCCATCCTTTGAGATGTTTCAGTCAACACTTTTCAGCCAAATGTCCAAAGGTTTGGAGCGCAGTGTCCAAACTAAAGCAGTTAACCAACAGCTGGATGAAAACATTTCTTTGTTCTTGATTCATTTGTCTCCTTACTTCATGCTTAAACCAGCACAGAAATGCCTTGAGTGGCTGATTCACAGGTAACCTACCAATAGTCTTTAAATGTTACTTACCATTAAGTTATTTAACTTTAAAAAAGAATAAATGTTCCAGTCTTCTGGACTGTTAACATTTTGCATGAGATTTTTTGAATTTGTAGACTAAAGCCCCTGAAGACTAAGGGATGCCCCCAGCCAGACCTCTGGAGGATTGGATTAAGAAATGGAAGTATTTACAGGAGTTTTCATGTTTTTACAACTAGTGAATTCAATCTCTGCAGTCATTTTTATTTTGTGGAGAAGACAAGATTTTACAAGGGGTTATGGGACTTAACCCTATCCATTCCTTTTCCCTTTCTTCTCCATGGGTCAAAACGTAGTGCTGGAGTTCAAACTCTTTATCTGTAAGAACATGAAAACACTTTTTGAGACTTGACTTGATCAAATCTCCCCCACCCACCCCGTAAATCTAGCTGGGGAAATCCCTATAGACTTTCAGGAGATGTAGTACACAAATTCTGAAAATCTCATGTCTAATTATCACAAATCATGTCCAAACCACAAGGTGACAACCTTCCAGAGCAATGCAAGGGTGAGATGGTGTGCCTGTATTCCTTGCTTCCCTGACTTGGATATTCCTGTATCTGACCATATGGATGTACTGTGCTTTGTTTTGATTAGGTTTCATATTCACCTGTATAACCAGGACAGTTTGGTTGGCTGTGTGTTGCCATATCATGAAACCAAGTTGTTTGTGCGAGTTATCCAGCTTCTGAAAATTAGTGATCCTACTCACAAGTGGCATTGGCTTCACCCAATTCAGGTAAAGTAGCAAAAGAAAAAGACGAGCGTGTGTACTCTTAACGTTGTGACTTATGACTGCCCGCAGCAGTTTGACATAATCTCATTGATTAGTTTGCACTTAGCTGTCCATGTCATGTTTGTTTATGTTCCTCTTTTGTGCACTGGCTGTTGTAGAAAGAAAAGTTGGGGCTTGATCAAAACTGACCTACCAATTTGGGATGCTTTGCTCCTTGGCAAGTGAATGCGGAGAAAACACCAGTACTTGTAGATATGGTTTCTCAATTCTGTTCTTTAATAATGTTGGCAAACAATTTTATGCATGCTCATTTTGGTGTAAACTCCATTGGATTGATTTCTGGGATACACTTTTGGTTATACATGTATAGGGTTAGATTACAAGGCTAAACTACTAAATTGTGACATATATAAATGCTTTGGGTATACATGTAAACTATGTATAACTAGGCATTTTGTTGGATTACAAATCCCATAAACAGTTCTGGGTTTTCTAGCCAACAGACCCACATCTACAAGCAGCTAAATGTGGCTCACCTGGAGAAAAGACCTAACTGGGAAGAAATCAAGGCTTGGCGTAGATCTAGCTTCCTATGCAGAAAGGAAGCTGCCCCACTGTTAGCTGGCAGATTCCTTTCTAAATAGGAGATTGGGTTTATGCTAAACATCACAGCTTTACCAGATAAGCCACAATTAGGTGGGTCTGTCAGATGGAACACCCAGAATAGACAATTGTGGGATTTGTAGTCTAAAACATAAAAAAAAAATCCCATGCCTGGTAGTCAGCAAAAACTTCATGCAAATTTAATATTAATCTCAGCTTTATATGCAGGCTACCTTGCATATAGTAATGGAAACTACTTACTATAGCCTGTTATATTTCACCAGGTTTTTTTAAATAGTTCAACAATCTAGTATATTGTCGATTTTTTAAATGATTTGTATCCTTGATCTTCTAATTTACAGAAACCGGGAGTCCCTCTTGCAAGGGGAACATTGATTACACATTGCTACAAAGATCTGGGTTTTATGGATTTTATATGCAGACTAGTGACAAAATCTGTAAAGGTGAGTGTGCTTTCCTACTATAGTGCCAGTTTGATTGTTTCTGTGTCCATTTGAGTTTAAATAAGGAATTTTTAAAAAATCTGTATTCTATTATTGAAAATCAACCAGAAAATGGCAGTGAAACTAAAGAAAATAAAATTTACTCTATTGGGACCTATTTACAGTATACTGGATAGCTATGAACAATGGTTTTTGTTTACTAAATAGATTACATAAATACGTTACAAAATTACAAAAATGTTGGATACTGTATCCATTCATTTTTCTTTATTAATTGTTCTTACAAAAAAGGTATTTTCCTGATGAAGGAATAATACTAAAAAGCAACGCAATGGTAACTTTTTGATTTTACTTACCAACTCTTTCATCATGACAGTTTCATTACCCAAAGTGCCATTTGGCCATTGAAACCATTTACCAAACCTAAGACCGAATCTACAGTAGTTGCATGGCGATCAGCTGCATGACCTCAGGAAATGTAGCAGTGGAGAATAAATATTGTCTGTTAGTGTCTAAAACCTTCAGTGATCTATCTCACCAGCTGCTAGGATCCTCTATGTGTTGAGAAGAGGGACAGGAAAATATACAGAAATAGTCTCTATAGCCAATTCTGATATTTCACCTCAGAAACATTTATACATAGAAAAACCCTAGGAATTCTTCCCTTGCAATTTTGAATTAATAATAGAATGGGGAAAAACTGAAAAATTCCTGTGAAAATGTCTCTCTCAATGCTTAAAATGCCCTCAAATGTTATATGTCTTAACCAGATGCTCTCAAGCTCTAGTTACCCACTCTTAAAAAGCAAAAGAGTGGAGAGTACCAAATGTCTCACTTCATATGGGTGAAGCAGTTCAAAGTTATCCTGTGGAAAGCATATAAAGCTCTGGGAAACATGTAGTCCTGTGCTGTGAGCTTTGTTTCTTTGTTCTCTTGTTATACTAAAAACATGTCTTCTTTCTCTCCCCCTCTGCAGACCTTTTCACTTCATCCAGGGAGTTTATCACAGATGAGAGTCTTGTTTACTTTTTATGCCTCTACAGTTGTGTCTGCTCTTGGGGCTGCACCAAGAATAACAGACACTCTGGTCTCCAAATTGCTTCCTTATATCCAAAAGGTACTTGATCTGGTTTTCTTCATTTCGTTGCTCACCAGATTACAGCATTGGGTTCCTGTGAAAGTATTTTCCAGTTGGTGGACACAGGCTTTTGTTGGTAAACTGGCCATATGTTGAATCTTGTGTTCTGTGAAAAGCACTGTAATTATTGGTGATGGGAAATGTCATTCTCTTAAAGATCTGTTTTACTTCTTTTTTCTTAAATTATCACATGCATATTGAATTCCATCCTCACTATAGGGTTTGAAATCATCCTTGGTGGATTACAGAGCAGCAACTTACATGATTGTTAGCCAGTTGGCCGTGAAGATGACTATGGAAAAGTCTCTGGTTCATTCCTTGACATTGCTAATCAGCAAGACTTTGACCAAAGCTCCTTCCCTGTTCAGAGAGGGACTGGGCTGCCTGATAGTTCTTCTGCAGAGCCAGAAGGAAGAAGGTCTTGGGAAAAAGTAAGCATATCTTGATTGAATGTTTAAGAAAAAATGTTTTATACAGCCATAGAGCAATTCAATTGTATAAGTTCATTGAATCCAGCCCCCTGGTCAATGAAGGAATCCAAATCAAAGCAGATCTGACAGATGATTGTCCAATTTTCTCTTGAATGCCTCCAGCCTTGGAGCACTCACCGCCTCCCGAGGTAATTGGTTCCATTGTCATGCTGCTCGAACAGTTAGTTGTTTTATTTCTGTTTTACAGTACATCTGTATCAGTTAATCAGTACTTTATTCTGAAAAATAACACTGATCAGTCTGTAAACTCAATATTATCCATAATGTTGGAAATTAGAAATACGTAATGTGAGATATTCTTCCCTACTGATTTAGAGATGACTGGAGCCAGGTATTTTGGAGCTTCCTTGTATAGATCTTGATTCACACAGATCTTGAAATGAAAACATTTTCTGAGTTCAGTGAATTCTCACTTCTGATTTCCTTTCAGATTCAACTTACCTGTGCATGCATATACTATATGTATAGATATATACACACACTTCTGCTGCTGTGTGTGTATATATGTACCTCTCCCAAATATATGTATATATTTTATAACCTTGATGTGCCATAAACGAAGCAGTATACTTCCATTGGGAAATGAGTATTCAACTCCATAGAGATCTAGTAAGGATACAAGTCTGTACTGTAACCCTATTGTGTTTTTGAAATTCATGAAGATATGTTATATCAGGTTCAGTGAGAGCTGGACCATTAAGAAAGTTGACCGCCGAAGAATTAATGCTTTTGAATTGTGGTGTTGGAGGAGGCTCTTGAGAGTCCCCTGGACTGCAAGGAGAACAACCTATCCATTCTAAAAGAAATCAACCCTAAGTGCTCACTGGAAGGACAGATCCTGAAGCTGAGGCTCCAATACTCAGAGAAGAGAAGACTCCCTGGAAGAGACGCTGATGTTGGGAAAGTGTGAAGGCAGGAGGAGAA